AACCAGGACGAACGACTACTCTCTGGTGTAAGAACGCTATGCGGCTGCTTATCGCATGCTCGCTTTCGGCAACACCGAAATCTCGAGTTTGACTACCCTGACAGATGAAAGTCAATGAATGACAAGCAGGGAAGACTTTCAAAAAATGTGATATTTAACGCTTCATGTGGAATACTGAGCCCTCTGTGTGCACCTCAGAACGCCGGCGCAAGAGACCAGAACCGGTGCGAACCCAGGCAAAGGAGCAGCCATGTGGGGGTTGAAGACAGACCAATCAGAAATTGAATAGGATTCAAACGGCAGCAACGAGCGCTAAGGCCAACACATTAGCCGTCGAGAGTTCCGATTGACAGACAGCAGAAAGATGTGCCAACGAAACCGCCTCCCCCCCCTCATCCATCCCAGTCACGAATATCGCCGAGTCGACAGTGGTACACGCGAGGTGCTAGCATGGTTGTTAATTTGAAAGTCGAAAATCACTCAGCACCAAGTACGAACACTTACCTGTCCTTGAAAGGTGTCAGTGTTGCCTGTGTCGCCCTATTTGCATATAAAAATATTAACATACGAGTGGGTGTAGACTGACCTCATCTCCAATAGGAGGTATTGCAAACAGACAATCACCCACTAGTTGAAACTCGACCAAGATACAACAGCAGGAAATATGGGCAGAGGTGTAGATAAAAAAAACCAAGAAAAACACATGCAAAATATTGCACTACGCCCACCTGGTCCCAGCTGTCAATCCAAACGCCGGGCGCAACGGTACCGTGGAAAATACCAATCTCTTCTGGCCGAACAGGTAGCTGTGCTCTAAGGAATTCGGCGTGCTGATAGACCAGATGCACTACAAAGCGAAGAACAAAAACGTGCGACATGTTAACAGTTGATCGAGAGAATTTTGCAAAAGTGACTACGATCATATTGACGATGACGGCGGTATTAAAAACGCTAAAATCTCAGTTGAGGAAAGCATGCCTTCAGAAAATAAAAGCACTGCCAACGTGGTGTCGGCATGAAGTCCACATGTGCTGTCGTGCAGGCGGTTGGGATCATCGGTGACCTCACTGTCTGTGACGTTGATCGAAAAAGCGTGCACTAACAACCCCGACCTAAAGTCATCTACCACTAGGGATATCATAAGCAAGCAACCAAGCAAACACTGTACACCACAATAAAATTCCATTTCTGAATAATCTCGTACTGAGCAAGAGTGATGGAACATACATACATACACACACACACCCCTTTACCGCAAAGAAACGTCTGCAGAAGTAATTGTGGGCCATGAAAGTAAAAGCCCCAACCGTCAACATTTTGCTAAAGCGAGAAAAAACGCCGAGGGGTGTTAGCGCAGCAACCGCTGACTATACACGTGCAGACGGAGGATCCATAGCCGACAGCCCACTGCCTCAAGGTTGACTCGCGGACCTACAGACACTTGAGAGACAACCAACAGTTTGACCATCGATTTCGACGACGTCCACCGTATCTTCGAAAAGGGTGGTGCAGGTGGCGCATGAGTAAGTTTTCAGTGATACAACAGCAGAGAATATGGGCAGAGGCGTAGATAAAAAAAATAAATTAAAAGCAGCGGCCTATAGACTGCGGATGAAACCGGACCTATGTAAACAGTTGGAGTACGTGGTTAGCCTAAGCCAGTTGACAGCAGAACGTGACACTTAAGGTCTTTGCCAAGTGTACAAATACTGCGAACATCATCTATCGAGTCCAGTGCAGGTTCTGCGAGTTTCATTACGTCGGTGATACGCCAGAGGGCATCATGGAGGAGCACAGCAAAGCAGCGAAGATAGCCGACTCCTCTCCGGCAACGGTGGACACAATAAGCTTCCATTTCTGAATGATCTCGTACAGCGCAAGACTGATGGAACATACATACATACATCCACCCCCTTACCGCAAAGAAACGTCTGCAGAAGTAATTGTGTACCATGAAAGCAAAAGCCCCAATCTTGCACAACCGTCAACATGTTGCTAAATCGAGCGAAAACACTGCTCCGGCGAAGAAAGCTACAGAGCCAATTCCAAATTACCTGTCTGAATTACCTTCCAAAAATGCTTACCCTAGGGAGTTTGTAAGTCGATGAATGCAGCAAAAGTCAAAAAAGGACTTAGATAGTTTCAATCAGGTGCCTAAATTGAATACAGGAAAAATCTTTCCTTACAGTAGGAATGTGTTTGAACACTGGAATAGCCATTTCCGTTGTATTAAACATCATCAATTTGCTTTGCCTTGTGGCCAAGGTGCTTCCTAGCACTACAGTTGATCTCCGATCTCATTAAATGTTAACCGAAATTCTAAAAAGTCCTTTTGATTCGAACACACTACTTAATTAGAGTTGTAATATTGATTATAATGCAAATTATTATTGAGATATTTCTATCATGGCAGGCTGCTGGATCTTCAGCGAACCCTTTCTTAACGCCTGCAAAAGGCATACTCAGCAAAAATGCTACTTAAATTAATTATTATTATCATTTATTTTCGATGCCTTTTAAACTTGGTATATTTTATAGAACCAATGCACCAAATTATCCGTTCTTGTGCTCGTTTTGCAACAAATTACGTTTTTTTAAAATTTATTCCTGAAGGAGGAGTATCCTTTGGTTCTAAAAAGATGTTTGTAATTATCAGGGTTTAAAGACCGGTAAATATTCATTCATAACACATCGTGTTCATCAATCTATAAACGTCGCTTGTAAAGTATACAATACGATCCAAATCAATTACGAAATTTTATGAGCGTTATGAGACTTCTTTCTCATAGGGTAGAGAAATGTGTGAGTCTCGTTAGACAGAATGTGCACAGCATTTAGTTTTGAAACACTGAATTCCAGTATCACGGCCGGTAGGATTCAAAATTATTCGGTAATTTAGAAAGTTTTTTCAGAT